CAAGCTGTTTAACAGTGTGCTTCTTGCCTCTATACATAGTTTCCCCACATGATGACTGCATGTCTCGTCTCTGCGCACGACGAGATCATCTCTTCTTAATTCGGTCTACATTAACTGAAGCCCTTCCGCACAGCTTCGCCTCCTTTGATGGATAGCGTCTGGAAGCCACGGCTCCCGGAGCATCAGCGGATAATGCTCCAACCCTCGCTTCTGGAACTTGTTGTTGCTGAAAACTTGTAGATCCATTGTTCCCCGGAGAATTGGGACCCCAGCGGCCCGCATTGTTTACGTTGGCTCTGCTTTGTCCTCTCCAAAAATCGTCCTCCGTAGTAGATAGCCCAGGTGGTGGAAAGAGCAATGCATTCAATGAAATTTGCATGTTGAAAAGCAAGCAAAGAATGCCAAGCATGAAAACCATCAGCACAGAGCTCCAACGCCCGCAAATTTGGGTAGAGATGTGCACCTGCTATCTACGCACACAGAGCTCCCACGCCCGTAAAGTCTGGGTGGAGATGTGTATCTGCACGCTAGCCAACTAACAGCTTTCTACAAAACGTTTTGGGCCGAGAAGCTTAGGCTTGTGGCAAGATTGCACACATATCACTATCCGTCGGGGGTGTTTGGAGGCCCGAGCCCCAGTGTCGAATGGATTGGGTCAACTACACACTCGAATCCAGGGTGCTCCGAATGAAGTTTGGGGGCTGCAGAGGCAAGGGACAAGCCTTGAGCAAGTCTTGACCACGCACAGGGATTTTTTCTGCCGTCGCGTGCTGTCACAAAAATTCAAGTATCAGTTAGCCCCGTGAGGCTTCCTCTCTCACATCGCTGTACCTGCAGGTAACCCACATGCATAGGTGAGGGATAGGCAAGGGGGGGGGGCGGGTGTCAGGGTAGCTGTGTACGCTGTAGTACGCATGGCCCACACGGATGTTTTCCATCTTGGGCGCATGGCTGCCGGCGTCCCCCGCAAACAGCTACCCCGCCACGCTCACTGCTCTGACCTGCAGAGTAGCACAAGGTAGCATTGCTGGCTGAGCATGTTGTCAAATTGTATCCCTGTGTGTATGCTTTGCGTGGGTCTGCTATCATCGGCCATCCATTGAGGCGGCGCATCAGGAGCTTCTCTCGTGGGTAGGTGATTAACATACCTGGTGGTATAGTGCCCGGCGTTTGCAGTTACACCACAACGCAAGACGCAGGCTACCACAGCATACGATTGATTGTGACATTCCCCTCCTAAATCTCTATGGGTGAAAGCAGGTATTGTGACCTTGGGTGTTACCACAACCTTGGTGTGCATTTTTATGGTCTCACCAGCGGGGCCTGCTCTAAATCTAGAAATTCCTTAGGAGCATGATCCGTGGCAGGTTGGTGTATGCCTGTAAATAGGTGCCCCCTTGGTGCCAGTAGTCGATAAGGCCTTGCAGATTGATTGGTCCATCAGGGTCTGGGAGATCTAGCGCGATAGCCCTTTGTGTGAAGCGGTGGCCCCTGGACTCGGTGCCATCAGCCTCACTGCCTTGAAGAACCTGTGGCTGGCAGACTCCTAGAAGGTGCTCCAGGAACTCACAAGCATCCTGCTGCGTGTGTATGTTCGCCCAGTTCCTCAGCAGCGTCCGACATGATTTGAGAGCATGCACATGTGTCGGTCTGCGCGCATGATACACATCCCTCCACGCCTGTTCCGTACTTGAGGATGTCCGCAACCTGTAGATGACTGACCGCGTACAGCCAGGCTCTAACACTAGCATTGATGTAGCACGTGTTACTGCTGTTGAGCAGCTTGATTAGGAGCAGTCTGCTAATGCTTGTTGCACAAGCGCGGCAGCCGGTGATTGCTTGAGCGAGTCTCGTCGGAGCTGAAGGCCAATGACTTGTAACGCCGTCAGGCCCGTCATTATCTCCAGGCACTCCCACACTCTCTGATGTCCGGCGGTGCGGTTGGAGACATCGAGTTGAAAGGTGGTGATTCCGGTCATGTTGCCCGTGAGGGGCCTGGTTGCGTGGAATCGATGTATCATGTAGGGCTGCATTATCAGCGGTAGCACACTCGACAGTGCTTCCAGCAGCTTGGTGCGCAGCAGCGGAGACTTGGTCTCGCCCACTACCAGGCTCCCTAGTGCTGGGGACCACTTTTGATAGCACCAGTGCCCGTCCTTCAGCCATTTTGAATGGGGTTGATCCTTCGCTCCCAATGTCTTTCAGCCCGGTGTGTAGCATCTGGATCAGGCAGCCGAACAGCGTTGTGCGTAGCGCTGTGGTGGTGCGCCCCTCCTCCAGGGTCTTCTTCCATTTTTGCGCGGCCGCAAAGAGTAGTGGGAGCTGGACAAACAGAACCCAGCTGTAGTCTTGTCTCAATATCTTGAGCGCTGTCGAGCGCCAGCCTGCCTTGATCATGTGGGTCTGGTGGGGGCCATCCGTGCGGCGCCCCTTTCCTCCAGCTCTGCGCCAGTGTGGCTTGTTTGAGGGGGCCAGTGGTCCTGGGCGTCCTTTCCCCTGCTCTGTCCGTTGCGCCTTGCTCCGATCGGAAGGGGCCGAGTCCGGCGCCCACTCCATCATGCTGAGCTGATCCTCTACCAAAGGTCCGAACATCTCCTGAAGCTGCTCCATGGCCGGGCCTGTCAGAGCTCAGCTTGAGAGACATGAGGCTGATTTGCCACAGCACACTACACTTACTGGGGTGTTGTCGGTAGGCCTTGACGCTGGAGCCGCAGTGCTCACACGGGGACGCTGGAGTATTAAACCTGGAGCTTAAACGGCCAGCCTCCTCAGCATACATGCCAAACTCAGCTTGGTGCGAGAGCCTATAGCGCTGCTTGACTTTGCTGTGACAAGCGATCCATTGAGAGCACAGGGCACAGTGTTGTCGCAGCCATTGACGATCCTGCAAGTGGAAGGCTGCATTCTCCGAGTGCATCGCCAGTAGGATCTGTACTCTGGTCCTGCGAAAGTAAGGCAAGTGCTCCTCGGACGCAGGTGGCTCCCGACCTGAGTGCGACGCATCTCGCTGTTCTTTCTGCATCTGCCCAGCTATGTCTTTACTCTGCCTCACGGTGGTGGCAGGTGTAGCCTCGGGTCTGTTCACACAGCTGTCAGAGGTTTCATCTTTTGCATTAGGGGTGTCGGATGGGTGTAAGGGGCAGGTGCAGATTCTCGGACTGCGTGGGGTTGCTAACTTTAGGTGGGCTAAGGTAGGGTGATGGTACCTGTGACTGGGGGTGCACAGGGAATAGGACTTTACATCTACGCTCATTAATATGCTTGCGTAGACTGGAGAAGTCGCACAGCTTGGTGTGACAGTGGCTACATTGGGGGAGGCCGCCCTTGGCATCAGTGTGCTTATCAAACGGACGGTCCGCCTGGTTGACCGGTCTTGCTTCGTGGTGTTTGTGCCGCTTGGACATATGGCAAAGCATAGAAGTGCGGTTTGCAAAGTAGATGCCGCATTCGGGGCAGGGCACGCCATCATTCGGTTGATGGGGCACTTCGACAAGTGAGGAGGTCGGTGGGTCGATGAGTGTAGCCATTACTCGTTGCCAAGCATGGCTACCAGGTCCCCTCTTGAAGACATCCGGGCTCAAACTATCTTCCGGTAGTTCATGGTTGAGCTGTCTGCGCAATGCGGC